GGTCACACTGGACTCAATTATAGATTATTTATAATATGTAAACATGACACGAGGAAATTTCATTATTGCAGAGAATTTGAAACAATAGAACATGTGATTTTAGTTTGTTGTAGATAAGAAAAAGGAAGAAGGTTAATCTTGGAGGAATTTAGAGGGGATAGAAACATTTAATAAATGAATACAATAAAATAAAATACTGCAAAAATATTCGGAAAATAAGAGCATTCCATTTTTTTTAGATTAGTCTGTTACTCAACAAAGTTGAGTAACAGACTTTGATCTTCGGTAATATAGTTACAGGAAAAAAATGACACCGGTAGGTGGCGGTAATGAGAACCAAGCGGTTTTTGCCTACCGCTAATAAAGTCACGAAGAAGAACGTCTTCCTGTTTTGGGTCCACGTAGCGGAGCTAGCTTGTTTCAGCTAGCGGCTAACTGTGAAACAGGCTGCCACTCTCTGGGTTTTGGTTCACTTGTTTGGAATTAAACTGCCGTTTTTTGTAGTCTATAAACTCTATCTTATGTAGGATTATTCGGCCTGATCCCGTTAGTAGTTTTCCAGGATGTACACCCTGTTGTCCGGGTTATATAAATACATGTTCCAAAAGGATGAATACTGCGTGCTGATTCTGGGGCTGGATAACGCCGGGAAGACGGTATGTTTGTTCAGGAGAACGTGGCCTCTCGTCTTTTTGCTGCCAGCCTATTTATTTCATAGACTTAGTTCAGACCAGACTAAGTTTTTAGCTAATTTTTAGCTTCTAATAGGGCTCTTGGGGTTCCTTATGGCTCTTTACAGGAGCCTCCATGTCGGTGCTCAGGGCTAAGGAGAACAACTAAGTGACCAGTTTTAGACCTCCTTTATTGTCATCGTACAAAAGTGTTAGATGTGCTGTTCATTTAATCAGTTACTGTGTCTTTTTCTATTTTATACGTAAATGAATTCTGCTTTTTTTTCCCCCTCTGCAGACCTTTTTGGAACAGACCAAAACCAAGTTCAGCAAGAACTACAAGGGGATGAATCTGTCAAAGATCACCAGCACTGTGGGCCTGAACAGTGAGTTCCTGCCTCAGAATTAAATAATTAAATAATTTCTGATGACATAAAGTGTAATGTCCACAGAGCCTAATCTTTACCTCTTCAGACTAAAAAGTTTCCTTTTGCAAGACAAAACAGAAATGTTGCCATCAGGTGCCACAGCTGCATAAAT